GCCCCCGGGGTAAGGCGACACCTCGGTCTCTGGAACTCAATTTATTGAAGAGGCTTCTCCGAGAGGCAGGGCGGAACTGCTGAGCCTGTGCTGCCTGGCGGGCCCCGGGGAGGGTGGGGAGGCCGCCCACCTCCCCGCCTGGGCTCCAGGGACAGTGCCTTACACAAACGTTTGCCGACGGGTGCATTTGGGCCTGTCGATGGCTGTCGATACGGACAGGTTCTCTTTGTGCGTGTCAGGATTTGGGGACGTATTGAGTTGTGGGCTGGAGACTGTGTTCAGCCTGCATGCCTCTGTTCTCACGGTCCCCTCGGCTCACATGTTCCCTAGCCTCGGACTGAGGGCCCAGCACGCACCACACACAGGGGACCCAGAGACGAATGGAAGCCACTGACAGACGAGCACGATGCAGTCTCCCAGTCTGGGAGGCACAGGTCCGAGAGGCACAATAAACCATAAAGACACAGATCACTACACGGCAGAAAGGACAGGGACAGAGGTGAGAAGGAGGGGTGAGAGGAAGGAAGCCTTCCTGGAGGAGGAGTCATGTGAGCCGGGTCTTGAAGGCATTTACTAGGTTTAAAAAAGCTGAGGGGCAAAGCAGTCTACACAGAGCGACAGCATACGCAAAGGCACGGAGTCAGAGGGCTTCCGCGTGTCCCTGGAGCTGGAGCACACGCGTGGCCATGGCTGCTGCTCCTTCAAAACAGGAACTTGGGAGTCCCTGAGCGAGACCAACTGGACAGCTTGATCTCCACAAGGGAACCCGCGTGTGCCCCTCCAATCTCGCTGTCCGGGTCGGGGAGCATGGGTACACAGGAAACTGGGGGAGGGCTTGTCTCCTCGGTGACACCCTTGACCCCGGCGGCCCCATGGTGATAGGTGGACAACAGGGACGATGGCAGGGGATTGGAGCGACAGGGTCCATCTGTGGGCCTGAGGGACACCTAGGAGGGGAGGACGGTCACCCGAGATCTTAGAGCACCGAGACTGACTCTGCAGATGGAGCCCGGCCGGCCCAGGCAGGAGGGGGGACGGATGCGGTCCCAGCTGGGATCTAGTGCTAAGTCAACGGGACCAAGTGGGCAGGGAGGAGCCAGCCGCTGCCTTCTGCTGCCTGGGCCGGCCACGGTGACAGCACTTCAGAGACGGATCAGGAGACTCAAGGTCAAGTGCCCTCCATATCCTGAGCATGGGGACAGGCAGACAGCGAGGTCACCTGCCACCCCTTCCCCATGCCCTGCTCCCCGGGAGAAATTCTCAGGGCTCTTTCATGCCCTCCATGCCCGATGCTCACAACCACCTTCCCGAGAAGACGAGGTCCATGCTCCCAGCCTCGATGTCCCACCCGGCCTTGCTGTCCCTCTCCCCCTGTCATCTCTAGCCGTGCTCCCAGCCTCGATGTCCCACCCGGCCTTGCTGTCCCTCTCCCCCTGTCATCTCTAGCCGTGCTCCCTTCCCCATGCCCCAGAAGCACCAAACTTCCTCACTCCAACCTCGGGTCCCCAATGCCCTGGCCCTCTGCGAGGGTGGCCCCTTCGTGGACACAAATGTCACCTGTACAGTGAACCCCTCCTAGACCGCCTGATAAAGGTACGTGCCCTGGGTCACCGTGGCACCCCTGATGGGCACACAGAGGGCTCACAAAGCTCTAGCCATCACAGAACTATTGTCAAGACCACGAGGCGCCTCCGAACGCGCACGGGCAGATCAGGCCGGTGGGAATCAGCGGCCGGCAGGAAGTGGATGGCCCTTGACGGGGTAACGGGGGACCGTCTGTGAAGAGGGAGACCACTGAGACTCTGTGGGTTTGAGAGAGCAGATTCCGGGACCCGGACAGAAAGTGCCGTGTGGCTCCAGAGGCATGAGCTGTGACCTCGGCAAACTGGGGACCAACACCCTGCCCTCTCGCCCTGCCAGGGGTCCCGGTGACCACTCTAACTGTGAGTCTGCAGGGCGGGGCAGCCCTGGGATGCCGTCCACACGGACCAGCCTGGAAAGGAGGGGCTCACAGAGGGCGCCCCGCAAGGAGGGCTTGGGGCCCTTGCATCTGGCAGCTCCTCTGGTCAAGAGGCATGCTCTGAGAACCCCAGGCCTCCTCCTGCCTTTTCCAGGGGGCCCCGAACCACCCCCAAAAGACAGTCCCAACTGCGTTCCTACCGTGGAAGTGCTCGGCTGTCTTCCGCCGCAGGGCCTGCAGGGTCACCTCGGCGTCCGCCCACTCCAGCACCAGTCTCCGGCCGTACAAGTGGGTGCTGTGGCACAGGGCGTTGAAGGCTCTCTGCAAGGGGACAGAGATAGAGTTTTAGCGGGGATAAGCCTGCGGACACGCCACCCTGCACCTGGCTACCCACTGGCACTGCGAGACTCCGAAGCCTGGGCTGCAGCCTGTGTGACGTCTGATCTCTGGCCAGTGTCCGGGCAGCTGCAGGGCACACCTATTCCATTAGCAGTCACGTTCTTGGGGACAGTCGTGAGTGTCTGGGTAGTCAATATATCTGCCATCAGGGCCTGACTGGTGCCTGGGCCGAGGCGCTGGTTTGACGGCTATGTTCCGGCGAGGGTGACCCCTTTAGCGGGCCATGTCCCCACTCTGGCCGTCAGTGGCATCGGCCGTGTGCTGACAACCATACAGGCCACTGGTGGTCACTTGGTGCTGCTCTCTGCTGGCCCAAGTGGCTCTGCCCCTCCCTGTGTGGCTCTTGGGTGCCCTTGTTTTTATCTGCTGCCACTGTCCCAGGCCAGGCCGGCCTCGGCAACTCTGCTGCAGCCTGTCCCTCTTCTGCTGGCCTCTGTCCCCAGATCGGCAGTCCCTCCGGTCCCCAGAGTGAGAGACACATGTACTTCCCTCCCAGCCTTCCGCATGCAGCTATCCCCTCCCTGTGAGTGTCACACGGAGGCGTACCCCACACGTGGTACGGGCCCCAACCTGACACGCGCAGCTCAGGAGTGCAGGGTGCTCACGGCCGTGCGGTCACCTCCGCGGCGACTCTGCCAGGTTCTCCTCACCACCAAAAAGGAACCTGTCCTCCCTGGCTGTCCCTGCCCGAGTTCTCCATCCCCCGTCCCTGGTCTCTGGCAACGACGACTCCTTTTTCTGGCCCTAAATTGACCTACTCTGGACATTCCATATGAACAGGAGCACGCTGCCTGGCTGTCCCCTCTCACATGCCACAAGATCCCCAGGTGAGTGACATCGTGCCCGGATGCTCTCCCCACCATGATGGGCTCGGCCCACAACACCTGTCCGGGCACACAGGGCTGCGAGGCTCAGGGCCCAAGAGTTCTTTGACCCTGAGTTAAAGAACTGCTGGAGTCACGCTGCTCGGGCAGGGCGGGCCCTGTGTCCTAACTGCATGATCTCGGGCAAGTGAAATAAATCTTCCCGGACTGAGCCGCCTCATCTGTGCGACGGGGATGTCCCCTCAGGGCTGTGGGCCATACGGGAAGAGCTGACTCAGACAGGGCCTGGGACAGCGTGGGGCTCTCAGGATGCGCTCGGGTGACATCAGCTCTCACTCTCGGGTTGTCACGGCAGGTTCATCCCATCTGCAGCTTCCTTCTCTCTGCACAGTCCTTGGGCAGGCGTTGGGAGCGGAGTTGCCTGCCAGAACGGGACAGCCACAGGAGCTAAAAGGAGCCCTCTCTCTGTTCCTGGGTTTAGAAGGACATCTGCTGCAGGGATGGGAAGGGAGCTGTGGGGTGTACCTTGCTTGCTTCTTTGATGCCATGAGGTTCTAGAACATTGGAACTCACCCAGCTCTGCCCCTCAACGACAGCAAGGCAGTCCAAAAGACGCTATGTGGACCTATCCCCCAGGACCTCAGAATGGGCCGATGTGGGCATGGGGCCACTGCAGACGTGATCAGACAAGACGCGGCTACACTGGCTATGGTGGGCTCTGACCATGACGCCTGATGTCCTTAGAGGGCCACCTGAAGACAGCTACTGGACGGATGTCGTGCGGAGATGGGGACAACCTGGAGTGATGGGTCTACAAACCAAGGAACGCCAAGGACGGCCAGCTGTCACTGGAGCCAGGACAGAGGCCTAGAGCAGGTGTCCCCTCAGAAGGAAACGACCCAGCGGACACCCTGAGCTCGGACTCTTGAGCTGAGAGAGAGAGAGAGAGAGAGAGTGAGTCTATTTCTGTTGCTTTTTTCCCTCTTTTCTATTTTTGGAGAAGCTTTTGCTACAGGGTGCGTGCGCTCACCAGAAAGACAGAGACAGAAAGTGAGAAATCACCCTCCCCCAGGGGGGATGGCCATGCCGCAATCCCTTCTCCTCCATTCTCCTCTCGGGATCTTGGGCACGCACACACATGTGCCCAGCGTGAGTTCAAGCCACCGGGTCTGGCACTCAAACTGCGGTCGACTACATGGGAGTCCAGCGACACTGCCATGACGCCAACTGCTTTAACCCCCCAGTGCCCGGTGCTTTGTGATGGTGGCCTGAGAAACTACGGAAATGACTTTGGACATCAACCATCATGAGCCTTAGTCTCCTCGTCAAACACAGGGCTACCTGGGACTTACACCCAACCGGCCCGGAGGGTGGCGCGTGGTATATACCCAACAAACAATGAATCTGAAAAGACGGGAGAGAGGTGGGCGGTGCATACGCGAAGCTTTTAAAAGCCATACATGTGGCCAAAAAAATATAAGTAAATAAAAAAAGAAACACTTTGTTCTCTTCCGCACTGAGAAGGGCCAGGTGCAGAAAAGTTCTTCTCCCTCTTTTTTTTTTTTTTAACTTTAATTTAAAAAACTCTTTCCGACTGCCAGCCGAGCCTCTGCATTTTTTACCATGCGGATATAAAAATGCATCTGGACTCTAAGCCGAAATGGCCCATTCAGAGCTTTAAAACACACGCGTTCTCAGCTGGTGAGGCAGAGAAACAGTCTGACGGGGGGGGGGGGGCCGGGGGTTTAAGATGGGAGAGAGGAATTGGCGGGGAGTCTGGCGTGGCGGATATTCCATCCCAGCACCAGGGTCCCTGAGGAGCTGTGGTCCTGGGGACACGGTGGGGTGGGGTGCCAAGAGGCTGCATCTGGTGGATGCTAGGCCTGAACTTACAGAGGAAGGAGTACGAGACCCTGGGAGGTGGGCCCAGGAAAGATGGCCCGACCCCAGCTGCTCTGACTCCTGCTGTCAGCTCGGCGTTTCTCTGTCACCCTCGGAAGCTTGCTCGCCATTCCTATGCTACAGAAAGCCTGCAAAGGGCTCCGTTTATTGTAAGAGCTGACTATAAATCCCTGCTCCTGGCCTCCCCTGCCATCACCGTGCAAATTCCCCATTCCTCTCTGTGTCCCCCCCAGCATGTCGTCAGCCTCTCTTTGGAAGAGCTTTTTGTACTCGGGTTAAGGAGGTGACATGGCTCTGCCAGCACTTAAGAGCTGTGTGATCTTGGGCAAGCTGCCTGCCCTCTCTGAGCCTCAGCTGCCGCCTATGTAAAAGAGAAGCAGCAGAGAACGGGGAAGAGCCGGTGACCAGTGGAGCCTGACCTGCGGAAGGCTACCACGCATGTCTCACTAAACTATGCAGCCCGACTTTCAGCTGCCATGCCAAGGAGCAGGGACCCTGGAGGGTGGGACTCGAAAGCTCCTTTGTATTTGAAGTCGGAGCACAAGACGGCTCTCTAAAAATAGTGGAGGGACCTCCTGGTTCTAGTCCCCGCAGGAGCATATGAGATTAGATCGGCTTCCCCAGGGCCCGCTGCCGTGGTGACTGGAATGTGGTGGCCTCAAACTGTCGTAGGCAGGTGACTGGAGGCTAAAATTGGCCCTGGATGATCCAGAGTAATTGTGCTTCATTAAAAGAGCGCAATGAGACCTTGTGACAACTGAGGTGCCCTAGGAGGCAGGGGCTGGTGAGGAGGGGGAGGATGCGACCCCGAAGACCCTGAGGAGCGTGGGAGGTTCCAGGCTCAGCAGAGGCCCATGGCCTCTCTGGTTGAGGCCCACCAGGATCTTCTTCCTGGCCCCTCTGCCCACACTTGGCTGCACGGAAACCATGCCCCCAAACTAGTGAAGTTTTTTTTTTTTTTTCCTTTTTTAGATTTTGCTATAGGCTATGTGTGCTCCCAGGAAGGAAACAGGAAAAGTGAGAAATCACTCCCTCTCCGGTGTGGGGTGACAGCCATGTGGAAATCCTTTCTCCTCTAGTCTCCCGTTAGGATTTTGGGCACGCACACATCCATGCCCTGCACGATTTCCAAACCACCGGGTCCAGGACTTGAACTGTGTGGCGGATCCAGCTGCCTTAACCCGTCACACTGCCGGCTGGCCCTCAGGCAGGGTTTTCCAGCTCTGGCAAGGCATGCTGGGAGCCTCGATCATCTCAGGCCATTGGGGCCTGGTCCTTGGCTCCTCCCCAAATCCTCCTTCCCTGCTCTGTCTTTTCCTCCCCTGGAATCAAAGGCCTATAATGCTAGCAATGGATTATGGGTCTCCTGGTTCCCCAGGACCTTGAACTTGTCCCAGGAGCAGATGTTCTCATTCTCCCATTTCTTTTTCCTTTTTTTTTTTTTTTGAGAGATTCTTGCTATAGGGCGCGTGCGCTCGCCAGAGAGACAGAGAGAGACAGACAGAAAGTAAGAAATCACCCCCGGGGGAAATGGCCACGCTGCAACCCCTTCTCCATTCTCCTCTTGGACATGCATGCTCACGTGTCTGGAGTGAGTTTCAAGCTGCCGGGTCCAGGATTCAAACTGGAGTTGGCCACGTGGGAGTTCAGCGCCTCCACCACTGTGCCAGCTGCTGGCCCCATCGCTCTCCCACCTCAGCAGAGGGAAAGCTGAGCTGCCGGCCCAAGTCTGTGCACGGGTCAGAGCCGCTCTGCCTTTCACTTCTGGCCCCTGCACACTCTGACTCCGGGGCCCCTGCACGTCCTGTCATAGCCGGGACGTGGCCGCCCTCAGGACATGGCTTGCTGGTGGTCTGGGGAGGACCCCGTCTCCTTGCATGGCTTCCCTGCCCTGCAAAGCCTGCTGCACGAGGTCTCCTGGGCTCCCCTTGAGCCCCGCAGGGAAGGCACCGTGTTCTAACCACCCTTAGCAAGGGACCGGGGCAGAGCGAGACAGCAGACCACGGAGTCTCTCATCGAGACCTTGAGGACACGTCTCCAGACTTGGGGACAGCTGGGTTGGTTCTGGTTGGAGATGAAGGGCTGGCTGAGGAGTCCTGCCACGGGCCTCGAACGCCTGTAGTTTATTCCACAAAGTGGGCAGGGACAGAACACGTCTGACCTGAGAGCATTGCTCTGGAGTGTCCCAAGGGCCAC